ATCCTGGTCTGGTAGTGTACACGTGGATTCGTTCTGACGTAGGAATTTATAAAACATCAAATCAAAGCAGTCACTTACGTGGCTGTAACATCTTGAGCTGGTTGCCCGTTTCGCTGCTCCCTCGCAGCTTGACCTGAGCAACTGCCAGCAACTTTTAAAACACCTCAGTCTCTGCATGGCTCCGGGGACATGAGTGGAAAAGCACCGGCGAGTAAACAACAACCTAACTGGCTACTTCGAGGAAGTGACACTTGAGACAGGAGCTCATAATATCTGCAGCAGCAACTGTCAGCACTTACACCTTAGTTCCATCATGCTGATCGTATAGATACCTGCATTCAGGACAAACCGTACCTCTAGTAACCCTTACTACAACCGGAGCGCATGCGCAAAAGACCAACTCGTACGTAGTTCCATGCGTAGTTCTATATCACCGGAAACACGTCGCCGAAAGGATCGCTTCTGTTGAAATGAAACTAAAGAAGCAGTTTCCATATTATTTATTTTTTTAGACGTGTACATGTCTCTAATAAGTACATTTTAAAGGTAGAAGTAAGGATCCCTACTGATTTTTGCGAAAAACGAAATATTTGTTTTAGCTCAACATAACTCTTAACTTAAATCTTTACATTAATTTAAAAATAAATAAATAAAAAATAGAATACTGCATGACAAAAATCATGCAGTATTTGAGGACATCAGTGTGTGGGGGAAGGAGGAAGAAAAGAGGGAGGATAAAAGGGAGGACAAAGGCCATATTAAGACAATTGGATTGATAATGATGTCTATAAACATAGCCAAACGAAAATTGATGTAAACGAATTTTATTGATTCAAAGCACAAATGATTAAAAAAAAATGTAGTCGGCATGTCAATAAAAAAATTTAAAAAACACAACAGAAAAATCTGTAAAAGTGGAAGTGGAAAACATTCGAGAAACCGTTCTTCAGCTAATTCTCAGTTCATTTTCAAGTCCATAAATTTTGGCTTTCAAAGCCATAAGCTCATTCTGAACCTTTTTCGTCCTTGAATTTGTTTGTCGTACTTCATGCAGAATGGCTAGGTCCTGGTTGGGCCCAATGTTTAATGTGACCTGAAGAAAACAAAATGATTTAGGTTTTATAAAGCTTGTAATGCAAATATTAAAACAACAACAACAAAAAACACAGTCGGGGCATTTTTTTTTTAACCTTGAGAAGCTGTTTCTCTACATCTTTGAGCTTCTGTCTGAGGAGTTTTAGATCTGCCTTAAAGCCCTCCACCTCCATGACCCTTCTCTTCTCCAAAGCCTCATAGCGCTGAGTCATGAGCTGGAGGCGCTTGGCCATCTTGTCTGAACGCTCCTGAATATAAACAGGATAATTCATAAGAAAGTCAATAAAAAAAAACAAAAAAAAACAAACACACACACACACACACACACACACACACACACACACACACACACACACACACACACACACACACACACACAATAAAAAACGGCAGACAGTCCAGAATTTCTCAGAGTAGCAAACCTTAAATATTTCCCTGCCTACGTCTCCTTCCTCTCTGATTTGGGACAGTTCTGTCTCCAGTGTGATACACTGCTCTCTGAACATCTCTGCCAACTTGTGAGCTTGTTTTAGATCATCTTGTAGAGCCTGATTAAAACAAACAAACAAACAAACAAAAAAACAGCACCAGGATAAACAGGCATATTGCTTATTAATGACGCTGTTCAGTAAATTTAAATTAGGGTGTGCAACAAAAACAATATAGTAGCTTTTATTACCTTTTTCTCCTCCTTATGTTGGTCAGACAGCTCAGGTTGGGGTTGAGGAAGAAAAAGAACTGATCTGCTGCTGCTGGGCTGCCAGGATCTTGTCAGTTCAGCGCCGTCGAACCGGGCCTTTGCCCTCATCAGTCGGTGGTGGCAGGAGTCCAGCTCCCTCAGCAGCCGATCTTTTTCTACAATCCAGCTTTTTTCATTAGCCCGAGCGTCAAATTTCTGCTTTAAGAAATCTCTTGTGCTTTCATGCAACAGGTTCTGAGTCTGCTGGAGCCTGACGCATAAAAAAAAAGGAAAAAGATTAAAAGTTACAGTAAGCTTGGTACGAGCCATAAATTTAGATATTAAAAAGACACACTTTTCACTCAGTGCAGTGATGCGTTGATGGTCTCTTTGTCGTTGTGCCTGAGATTCCTCTGTTATGATCCTCCGATCCTCGAGGAGAGCTTCTACCTGCTCTCTGACCAGACGCGTCTGTTCCTCCATCTGAGCCTGCAGCGCCTCCACCTGAAAAACGCAAGCTAAAACTGTAAAAATGGCCATAACTTGAAACATCGTATTAATATGGGAAAAAAACCCAAAAAGAGAAATAGATGTCATTTTTTTCCCATTTTGTAGTGGCGCTTATCAGAGTCATAATTAACACGTTTTCGCAGTGGAGCAATACCTGCAACAACAATGTCTGGTTGTCGTTCTTGTACTTCTCTACACCGTCACCAGCTGATTTTGTTTTCCTGTTAGCCTCTGTTCAAACATTAAAATTAAAAGGGAATTCATTTCTTTGAAAAACAAAGAAAATCAACGCACTGACTCAGACTGTTTTACATAAATAAACTAAATGCTCTCAAACCTTTTGTTGCCGCAGCAGGTCTTAGTTTAGTTGGCCTTAGACTGAGATTGTCATCAAACATGGACTCAGGATGCCTCTGAGTAATTGCGACCTGAAAAAGCAAGCGTGATGTTGTCATTAGGTTTGTCTGCATTTCAAAGTAATTTCTTTTCTGCGTTTAAAAATTAAGTGTAATTCTCTTAAATTTGAGTTTTATGTGTACACAAAATTACAAAATAGTTTTATTGAACCCAAATCAACTATGACATACTTAATATAAAACCACCAAAAGAAAATCATTTAGCTAAGCTTCAAAATAATTCAAACCCCTTTAAATATCACCCCATAGCCAAAGCCTTGAAGATTTTAGAATTATCTAAATTGTCTTATATAAAAAAGGAAACAATAATGACCATTTGTCAATTGAAAGAGAGGCTTCTATTAGGCAAACACTATAGTTAAAAGCATTTATAAAATTGTATACAACAAATGTAAAAGATACTAGAGATCTATGAATTAGTGAGTCAGTTCCACCTTGTGAGGAGGCTCTTGGTGAAAGTATGTAATCTCTCCAGCATCGGGACCAACAAGAGCAAGAAGGTGTTGGATCTTTTTCCTGTCCTCCAACTCTCTGCAGCAATAAATACAAGAATATTATATTCATCCCAAAGTCATACTGTATCTTAAAACTTAATAAATACATACATACTCATCATATCACATTAATCACACACATTAAGCGACATCACAGATCAAGAGTTGGTGGCCACCTAAAAATGTTCCTGGAAAATCACAGATGAAAATAATTTCTAATAATTGTCTTTTATCCAGCGCAGTGCACCCACCTGATCTTTAGTCTGTCATTTTCTGCATAAAGTCGGAGAGACTGCTCTCTCTCCTGGAAAAGGTAGACCTGCATGTCACTCAGAGCGTTCTGAAGCTGTGTAACTTCTCTTTCACGCTCCTGTATGTCATACTGCAGTTTGTGCTGGAAGGACAATGATACAGAATATTCCTTAAACGATTTAGGAACTCAGATACTCAGTAACAGCTGAAACCCCCTCCTCCTCAAAAAGAACACCCACCTGGTCCTCTGCGATGCTTTTAAACTTTTCCAGCATTTGCAACAGCTCTTCGTGTTCACCATCATACTGGGCGATCTTCTGTCTGTAGAACTGCAGCAGCTCCCTGGAAGGACGCAGGTAAGCAAGGCGCTCCTCTATGGGAGGAAGTGGGGAATCTAAATCTTTACTGGGGGAATGAATGCTGACTCTGTAGAAGAAAAAAATATATCTATGGCTCATTTTGAAGATTATTCAACTTCATATTCAGCAATGTACCTGCACTCATTTAACACAAATACTTGTGATTACAGGACTATTTTTTGCACTGTGGAAGTGCATTTTAAGAGTCTAGATTTGTAGATTGGCACAGACATCTCTAACCTGTGAGGCGTCCCATGCTTTGCTGGAGATCCCATTCTTCCAAATATCTCTGAAAACGACAGAAGAAATGATGCAGCAACATGACAGTGTATCAGCATCATGAATAAATGCAACCTAGTGCAAAGGAAGTTGTTGTAGTCTGTCAATATTATTGAATTATAGGAATTATTAGACAGTTTTGTTCATGCATAATTAAAAATACTAGTAATGGGAGGGAGAAAAAGAAATCCAAGACACCTTTGTGACATTTTGAACTTCCTTTCAGCAACCGAACTAAAGCAAGATTCACATAAACCCACAGAAATAGTTCTTTATAGGAGGGAAACTGGAGAAACATGAGTGATCGTATTAACGAAACATAAATACAGTGGCATCGTCAGTCTCTTTTTTGGACTAAAAATAAGCCACCACATTAATGCACAATAGAATAGTTGTTTCATTGACTGTCAAAGTACTTTTAAAGCGGTATAAAATGAACTGTTACATACAAGTAAAGACGTCGGTTCCAGAATCTGAGCTTTGTTGTTGCTCAGAGCAACGGTGCATTTCTTTTTTAAATCCAGTGTTTCCGCTTCTTTGTGATTTAACTGTGCAGAGGAAGTTGGGTGCGCCACCTATCTGCTGGGCTGTGCAATTTTCTAATGTTATTTAGTGCAACCATTACCATCAGAATTGATTCCGTTTTAATTTAATTAATGTGACATATGTGATTTAAAGGTGGTTTTTGGAATAAAATTAAGAACGTTTGGAAAAGTACAGCAGCAGCTATCCACGAACTAGTCAAGTTTGCGAATAAAAAGCGGTGACGGCATAAAATTTCAAAATAAAAGTGACATTTTGTCAGGTTAGTATAAATTAAAGCACATAGAAAAATCATTTAGGAAATATTATATTTTAAATATAATTTATAATTATATAGTAACCACATAAAAGTCACATAAAACAGTTCTTCGCGAAAAAAAATATGAACCGGAAACGCCTGTTAGGCTTAACTTGACCACACTGACTTTGGTCCTGTAAAACTTCAGCGACACCAGCGCTTCTCTGGTCGGACTGTTTTGTTTTTCTCCCAGCGATGGAGCGGAAAGTTGCTCGAGAATTTAGACACAAGGTAAGATAATAAACTTGTTTTCATATATTCCAATAATATCTTAGTAAAATGTTATTGTGTTACCTGGTTGTTTATTGCGGTGTGTCAGGTGTCTCCGCCGGAGAGGATGTTGCGCACACAGAGGCCTATTTCTGAAAGAGCTGAATCAGTCAGGAATTATCTTAAAATGTAGCTGGTTTGAATTAGCACTAATAAGAAACCAAAGTTGATTCAGGACAATTTGTTTTATCTGTTGTTTATCTTGATCTATATATTTAAAGACTACAAACCAACAACAATTTCTATCATGAGAGGTAGTTTGGGATGAATCTTAAAGTGGGTTATTTTGGAGTATTTAAAATTCCTTCATAATAAAAGATTATTTATGTCGACAGAAATTCCCGTCAAAATTTTATCGTACAAACAGTATGATGTACTTAAAGGTTAAACAATTTTAAAACTAGGGTGGACTTTAAATCTGAAGAGGGAATGTACTGTTTAAAATGCTTCAATTGAGCAAAGTAAACATTAAATTATTATAGACCTACAATTAATTCAGTTAAATTGTCATATTTTGATTATAATGAATAAAATTAAATTTCACCTCCTTTTCCACTTTTAGCCATTTTTTTTATGTGTTTTGCCAGCATTTAGGTTAAACACATTTTAATCTTTGATTTTTCTTGCTGTTGACATGTCATATTATTTAGATGGGCCTTTAAAACTATCAAAGAGCATAGGATAATTGAGAAAGGAAACCTGATATGGTTGGGGCATTTTTATCCTTGGAGCATGCAGGGATCACCACAAAGCCATCTGTGCTGCCAAGCGGGGCCCATATTGTCTCTACAAAGGGCAACATAGCATTAGATAATGTGCCACATATGAGCGTCCAAGCAGAAATAATGAGATAATTTATGGGTTTAATTAGAGGCTCTCCACAGTCAGTCTTTTGTTGTTTTTCCAGACACGGTCATATCTGCCCTGATTCCCTCAAAATAATTTTGGACTGTTCTTTTCTGTGCCTTGGAACCCACCTGAGCTGTTGATTTGATCAAAGTTTATGTAAAAATGTTAATCATTATAACACTTCTTATGTGAGAATACTGTATAATCTACTCCTAAGCATACGTTGCCCTTCAATATAAATGCCTGACACACAGGGAGCTCCAACGTTGTTATTTTATGATTCCAAAGTCTGTGGTTCAATTCCAGGCAGGGCTAACCGTTTCCTGCAGCACTAAGCAACAGACATTTACAATGGTGATAAAGTCAGGCGTGTTTTGAACACACCCATTTCATTTAGATGACCTGTCGTCATAAAAGATTACCATCAAAAATACTTGTGCATGTCAATAAATTGGAATATCACTCACATCAATCTATTTCAGTAAATAAATTCAAAACGTAAAGCTCATTTACAGGATTAGCTGAAACTATGTTTACACAGACTAGATAAAATTACTTAGTGCATTTCTTTTCTTCTCAATTTCTGACATTAAATAAAATTAAGCCTTCCCTATTTAATGTCATGTCGGATTGGAAAACATAATTTTTCTTTGGTTAATGTCAGAATTAGGTAGAAGCATTGTTTTTATACTTTGTCCAAGGTCAGAAGGAGACTTATGTCTTTTATTGGAATAGACGTCATCATGAAAAAGTGTATCTTTTAATGTAGTGTATGTAAATATTTCATGACTGTGTTAGGTTCAGTTTTTTTCGCCAAATTGCTGAAAGAAGTTCCCTTTGATCTTGTTGGAGTTTAAGATAAGTTTGTGTGTGAATGTTGGGTGTCATGTCTGTGAGATGTAAGGTGACACTGCTGACCTTCCTCCTGCTGCCTCTCTAGCTATTATCTCTCAGTGCTTTGATAGAGAACGGCAGCGGTCATAGATTCAGATCATCCCACAGTTTAGCTTCACCCTGGCTTCCTCTGCTTAAATGAAATCAGGTTCTGAAATTAGTGTGTGATTTAGCAAAAAGCAGTTTAGGGATATCAGGGTGAAATGTGCATCAGTGATTGGCCGAAGCGTTTCCTGAAAACCATCCTGCTGCACCTGAGCCGTCATCAGGTTAGTAGATGGCTTTGGCTCCTCGTAGCATTGGTGGGACCGTGGGTGGGACAGTGTGCAGTGTGTGTGTGTGTGTGTGTGTGTGTGTGTGTGTGTGTGTGCGCGCGTGTGTCCGTGAGCTGACAGATGAAGGATGGTGCCAGATGTTTCTGTTCTGTTGCAGGTGGAACTGCTGATTGAAAATGAGGCAGAGAAGGATTACCTTTATGATGTCCTCCGCATGTATCACCAGTGAGTACCATCTGTCGTTTCTCAGGTGGTCAAAGTGTTAGTTGCTGTTTAAAACCAAATATCTCTGTATGAGTAAACTCCTGTAGAGTATTTATTAAATCTGGTCATTTGGGGGGAGAGCTACTTTAAATTAAAAAACAGTCTTGAAGTAAAGCCCTTATTATTGATATGCTGAAAATCAGTTTTACTTTTAGTTTTGTCTTATTATTTTTTGTGATATGTTTTCTCATTTAATCTGAGTTGTCTTGTGTCTTTTCTAAAGCTTGTTGCTCCCTGAGATCAGAGTAACTGGGTGCACCTTATGAGGCCAGTAGGCTAAAAGTCTTCTAGGTTTCAATTAATCTTTGTACAGAAGCAGAGTCCTGTGGCCTCTTTGGATGAGCCTCTGATCCGTTTCCATTGTCCTCCGACAAGCTTGGCTAGTTATCCACAAAAGCTCTTTTTTTATTCTCATCCTTCAAATGGGGCTGAAATGACACATATGCATAATTAAACAAGCAGACCATGTGTAGTTTCTTTTCTCTTTTGTCTCCACCTGAATTGCAGCAGAGAGAAGACTGGATTATCTTCTCCATTGACATACAATACTATATTTATTCTTGATCCTTTGCTTAACTAATTATTGTTATCTGTATTATTGTTTTATTTGCAATAAAAAAAATCTGGTTACTGCGTAGAAGCTTGTGAATTAATAAATTAGAATTCAAATTCTATGATCTACTTCTACTGACTGGTTGAAATGATTGTGTGCCTTAAAAAAGATCTAATTTTATAATCATGTAATGATTTTTGGGGCATTCGGGTAGGTTGAGCTGCTTCATTCCATTTTTTTTAGATTTCTTTTTTAGACTTTTAAAAGTTAAACATTTATTGTTATGCAGTCATGGCAAAAACTGCATCCCACAATATTTGCTTATTGCATGACTTTACTATCAAAAAACACACAATTTTCCTTCAGTTCATTGAAGTTAAATTTAAATCCTCACCATGTTTTGTATTCACTCAACATTTTATACGTTAGTTTTTTTTTTTTTCACTGTAAGGCAAAAGTAATCCACCACAGACTGGTGTAACCCATTCTCTCTCTCTCTTTCAGGTCTATGGATTTGCCGGTGCTGGTGGGAGACCTGAAACTGGTCATCAACGAACCAAAACGGCTTCCGCTGTTCGATGCGATCCGGCCTCTGATCCCACTCAAACACCAAGTCGAGTACGACCAGTTCACACCCAAGAGGTCACGGTGAGTGCAGCGTGGCATTTTAGCTGTTTCGCCGTGGAGACGGTCTCAGCTGTTATGCGTCTTAGCGATAAACCTGATTAAACTTCAGGAAGCTGAAAGAGGTGCGTTTGGATCGAACGCAGCGCGACGGACTGGGTCTCAGCGTTCGAGGAGGACTAGAGTTTGGCTGTGGACTCTACATTTCACAGATTGTCAAAGATGGACAAGCTTACAATGTTGGCCTTCAGGTATGTAGATATTAAATAAAGATATGGATTTTTTTTTTCTTTCTTTCAGTTTTCTATTTGTCGCACACTTTAGGAGAAAAAAATTGCACATATTAAAATCAAGGAAAATACACATCTTACCCTATTCTAGTGTGTTGCAAAAGTTCTTAGATCTTTAACTTGTTATGCTATGCTAAGTTAAACCAAAACCTTAATGAATTTGATCAGAGTTATGTGACACAAAGTAGCACATAATTTTCAAGTAGATGGTTTATATGGTTTTCAAGTACCACTAAGTCTATTCTTACTTAAACCACCTTTTGCTACAACTATATGCAAGTTTTATGAAGTATGACTTTCCGAGGTTTTCACATCTAAGGTAATTTATGATCCCATTCTTCTTAGCAAATGAGCTACAGATTGGTTAGAAGAGATGGAGCACATCTGTGAACACCTGTTTTCACGTGTATTAACTAATATTTTCCATATTGATGCATCCTTACTTTAAACAATCCACCCCCAAAAAAAATCAGAAAACTGTACGCCTTAACCTATTTATTTTTTTTAGATCTATGATGATTTATAGAAATCCTTTCCAGAAACAAAACGCAATTTTGTTTAATTTATTATTTGATCAGATAAATATAATAAGAAATGTCACAAGCAGTTTGCAATTAATTAAAAGAGAAAAGGTAGTAAGTTCTTTAAACTTGACGATTTTGGCTCTCATGATAGAAGGTTTGAAAAATATTAGTTTAAGCCATTCCTCAGTGGCCCTGCCAATACATTTATGATCATTTTCTTGGAGACAGAAAAACCTCTGCACCTGTCTCCATTCTTGGTCATGGTAGTTTTGCATTTGTTTCAAACCATTCCTAATAAAATGACTAATTTTGTATTTTGTTATGTAGTATGTGGAACCTGAGCTGACCACGCAACACACAGTTTGAGTGATTATTTAATCAGAACTGTGTTCAATGGATCCACTAGGTGGAGTAGATCCCTTTTACTCCCAAGACGGCTCTGTTCCAGAAAGTATTCATGAAAATCCCTTCAGATTTGTGTTTTAAAACGGATCAGATGCCGTTTCTATCTCTGTTTGCTCGGTGTTGATATAACGGACGGAACGGTTCATAATGGTGTCTTTGGAGCAGACTGGCTCTTTTCTGCCCTGCAAGATTACAAACACACAATCGGTCTCAAATTCTCCAGCTGTGTTGTTGAATGTTAAGCTCATGAGTCGTGTGCTGCACTCAAAAGAACATTGAGTTGCTCAGATTCATTCATTCCATAGACAATTTCAGGGGAAGAAATAAACACACATGCAGGCTTTTCGCAAGACATTAATGTATTCATTATTATGCCTCGTTAAAAGAAAGTGAAGCTCAAATAATAGGGCAGATGGTTAAGTTAGGACACAAAATGAAATTTCAGCTCCAGAATTTGAATGTTTCTTTTTAAGTCCAGCCTCTGTGTTAGTTTTCTAAACAAGTTAAAATTGACAAATAATTTGACACAGAAAGCAAACAGAATATTTCTTGGGCTTCATGCAGAACTAGCAACCTGCTATCTTTTTAAAACATCCATAGATCCTTAGATAAAAGTAGATAAATGGTGCAGCATTATTAGATACGAAAAGGCTGATATAAAATATAGTGAGAAAGATTTGTACTAAAAATAGACTAAAGTATTAAAGGAAACTTATGTTTCCATAATATGCAGAGTATCCCTTTAACTGCTCTTGTCTGACAAGATCAGATTATATTTCAATCTGACCATAGGTGTCTATGTAGCCTAGAATTATCTGAAAGATGTGGGTCTTACTGGGGCTGCACAGTGGCGCAGTTCAGTTGGTAGAGCTGTTGCCTTGCAGCAAGAAGGTTCTGGGTTCAATTCCCAGTCTTTCTGCATGGAGTTTGCATGTTCTGTACATGCGTGGGTTTTCTCCAGGTACTCCGGTTTCCTCCCACAGTCCAAAAACATGCCTGTCAGGTTAATTGGCCTCTCCAAATTGCCCCTAGGTTTTAGTGTGTGTATGCATGGTTGTGTGTGTCTGTGTTGCCCTGCAACAGACTGGCAACCTGTCCAGGGTGAACTCCGCCTCTCACCCGGAACCCTGACAAGGGTGCAAAGAAAATGGATGGATGTGGGTCTTACTGTAACATACAATTAAATACTAATCATATGTAAAAGCATCTTATTGTAAGAAATAAACTCAAATGTAAGACTTTTAGAGAGTCCTACATTTTTGTAGGACTTTTAATGTCTCTTAGCTAAAGAGACATTATTTGTTCTCTTGTTGTCAGTTCCTGTATATTTGGACAGTATTGTTAGAAGCTTATTGCAAAAAACTATTTAGTGAAGAAAAGTGTCACTTCCAAGACAAACTGTAAAACTAAAATGGGTTGTGCAAATCAGTAGATCGTGGTCTGTTGAGCAAGCAGGAATGTAAATGTTGGATTAGCAGAAACGTCGTCTCTGACCTCGGCAGATTCATTGAAATGCATTTGTCAGTTTTAAGGTCTGCACTGATTTACAGGTGGGCGATGAGATCGTGCGAATCAATGGCTACTCCGTCTCCTCCTGCATCCACGAAGAGGTCATCAGCCTCATCAAGACCAAGAAGATTGTCTCACTCAAAGTTCGCCGTATGTCGACCTTTGTGTCGTCGGTACCAGAAAGAATATTTAATACTTTTGCTATGTCTGATTTGTTATTCATTTGTCTTTTATACAGATGTGGGGATGATCCCAGTAAAAAGGTCAGGTTTATTAATTCTTTTCTTTGTCCTGCATGTCTAAAAAAAAACAAATGCTTATTTTGTGTGTTTTTGTTCGCTCCAGCTCATCTGATGAACCCTTGAAGTGGCAGTTTGTGGACCAGTTTGTGTCCGAGTCTGGGGTAACAGGCTCCATATTTTTTTTTTTCATGGCTTTAACCGCCTCAAAAACTCTTGTTTTTTTATTCAGTTGTTTTGTTTTGTACTGCTTCAGGAGAAGAGAAGCAGTATGGCCGGCTTGGCATCTATTGGTGGGAAGGAGATCAAGGAGAAGAAGGTTTTCCTCAGTCTTGTGGGAACTAAGGGTATGGGCATCAGCATCTCAAGCGGCCCAACCCAGAAACCTGGGATCTACATCAGTAACGTCAAGCCAGGCTCCCTCTCTGCTGAAGTTGGACTTGAGGTGATTTCTCCAACAGGACTCCATGATGTCTCCGATAAAGGAGCGTAAATTAAGCAATCATTAATTCTCTCTTAGTGTGTATATTATCGCTTAATTGGATTTTTAAATAATTGATTAAATTATTGATTCAAAATAACTTAATTCTGCAACAATAAGACTAATCGATAGGAATTGTCTTAATACTATTACAATTAACAGTAAAAAGTGTACTGTAAAAAGCTCTGCTTTTCTCAAAGTATAATTTTAATAGATTTAATCAACAAGTAGAGGAAGAATCTGTGAGTTATTAAATGATCCATTACTCTAAGAATATTTAATTTTCTTGGCTAACAAGGTTTTAATTTCTACGGCGCCCCCTAGGGGACACGAAAGACTTTTTTTTTCCCCTTTTGCGTTCTCTCGCAATAATGTACTGATTTTTATTTGTAAGAATGTTTTTGAATGTCATTCTTTTCCTTTCCTCTTTTCTTTTTTCTCTCACTATTTTGTGCTAATCTATCTCATGGAATCCCAGCACAATAAATAAAAATAGCATGTTTTTGTTATAATGAGACGCGTGTGAAAACAGGGTGAAGAGGTTTATTTTAAAGAAATCTGCACGCATTCGCTTTGTGTTATTGAATACAAATAAATTATTTAGACGAATCTTCTGCATGTAAGGACGTCCTAATAGGTTATGGTTTTTATTTTCATTTTTCCAAAGTGTCACCCCTCTCACGCAGTCAATGCTTGCTGTATCTACTGTAGGCTGGAGACCAGATCATGGAGGTGAATGGAGTGGATTTCACCACTCTGGACCACAGAGAGGTGATTTTGTTCATGACAACATCTGTCATTATTTTCATTATTTTATATAGCGACTAAGAAATTTGAATTCTGACTTTTGTGTTTCTTTTAAATCTCATTTTTTTAAGGCTGTGAAAGTCCTGAAGAGCAGCAGGAGTCTCACTATCACGGTTCTGACAGGAGCTGTGAGTACACACTGTGTTGTCCAGTAACTGCTTATACCTTTTGGAGTATAATGTACATAATTATGAGACATTAACTAGATTTAAATTATAACATGTATTTTTGTTTAAAAGGATTCACAAAGACTCCCTATTTATCTTTAATTTGATATAAATCAAATAAAAATGAGTAAATCTCAATGTTCTTGATCAAATTTAAAATTCTGCGACAGCAATGAAACAAACCGCTGCTAAGCAACTAGTACTGTTGCATATATCTTAATTTGTGGAGTGAAAATCCTGCACCTGGGATGAAACTCCAACTGTTTGCAGGCCCCTGCGGTTCACTTGACGGACAATCTGTCATGACTGCAAGACCACAAACATAATTTTCTTTCTTCTGCTATGCATCACTCTGAACGATGTGTGTCAATGTTTTTAATACATCACCTTTCCATAAAATGCAGCTTAGAAAGATGTCTGGAGGAGCAACATTTATCCTCCGTAAAGTCACTTGACAGATTGTTTGCTCGTGGAGCCAGTGATGGGGACTGTGTAAGTGAGACCAGCAGTCATGTCTTATTATTGTCTTCCTTGGTGCCTGTCTGATGCGTTTATCTGTGAGTTTGTCTTTATTTGGACGTTGCATCCTCCATCAGCGGGTATTGAGAGGATGGGTTGTGTTCCAAAATCAGACGGCTTCTGCTCGTGTGCCACGCTTTGTGTCTTTTCTGAAACAGTGCTCATTGTGTATCTGCAGAGGGAACACTGCAGCAATAATTATACACAGTAGGCAAGAACATTCATTGGAAAAAGCGTTTTTTCTATATTAATCCTCTCCACGATAATATAATGGCAAAGTTCCAGTCGTGACTGGATTGTCAGCTTGTTTAAATCCAGCCTTTGTTGTGCCAACACACAACACATGCTGTTCTGTTAAGAAAAAAATAAAGTGAAAATGATCATATCCTTGTTCCTTTCATAGGATATAACTTTTTACAGACATGGTGTGACTATTTCTATAAAAGAAGGACGTTTGGCGGTTTGCTGTTTTTCACGTTATACAGATGTGTGTTGGCACAAAGCTGAGAAGGAACGACATCCCTAATGGCCTGAGAGAAGCATTTCTTCACCAAGACGTTCTCTGGCCTGTCCCTGTATTAAACTTGTGTACCGGACTGAAGCCTGGTTTGAGTACAATAGCTGCATATAAAAGCACTCTCTGATTTTTGTCTACGGCCGGCAGTGTTGTGGTACTCGAAGTTGGTGTTGGTCTTAAGACCA